TTKWCTTTWACATTTAACAAAAATGGATAACTGGGACACTGAAACAAGAATTTSGATTGTCCGCCGCTATCACGCACTGGAGTCCBYAGTTTCGGTTCAAAGAGAGTATAGGCGCACGTTTGGCGGCAATCCTCCGAGCAGATGGACCATAATGAGACTTGTAAACAATTTTGCCGAGCATGGGACAGTCAACAGAAGACCTTACCATCGAAACCCTTCAGTTCGAACGGAGAAAACAATCGCTGCTGTAGCTGCTGCCATACAAAACAATCCACGTGTTTCGACAAGAAGCTTATCTGCTCAAATGGGTGTAAGCAGACAGTCATTACTGTCTCAACTCTCCAAGCAGTAATGAACAACTTTTTGGTAAGATGCCGGACATGCATCAACGAGCAGGGGGCATTTAAATTCCATTATTTTTAAAACTAATTAAGCTCGATTTAATAAAATTGAATGAGCTTTAACATGAATAAAACAAAAATTAATTCCATACACTGAAAAAAAAATTTGAGTTTCTTAATATAGAAAAATTCATCAGCCACCCTGTACTATATATGTATATTTAAAATCTATAAAGCAAGAATTTTAAACTATTACGAATAAATATATAATTTATTTTTAAGTAAGCATTGGTATGTTTACATTTGTTGTTTAAAATAAAATTAAATATTATTTGGAATTATCTTGATTAGTCGCACCTGATATAAATACCAGCAAAACAACGGGTACAATATACATCCACTGGAAATAAAAAATATTTATAATTTAAATAAGGTGACGAAAAATATGGGTGAGTATATATGGTGAGGTATATATCAAAGGTAAAAATATCATTTCGACATACTATATAATTACGGAAATATATACTACAAATTCAACCTGTTTCAGCCGATATTAGTAAACATATTAATAATAGCTGTCTTTGTTTGGTAATTTCTCTGCTCTCTTGTCATAAAATTTACATGTTAAAATAATAACATAATTATCGAGTTCAATTGAAGCAACAGAGTATGTGGATACCTCATTAAAGTGTTATAACTTCTATCTTCCTTTAATTTCCTTATCTTTTTTAATTTCCACTAAGAAGAAATCATAATGCTATTGCGCATGCGTTAGATACTTCGGTAGTAAACATAGTATAGTACATCAATAAATTCTTAAACGAGTCGCATGCATGATTGTTGAAATTTCATAATTTCGGCGACGATTTCGCACATGGCTTTCTACTTCATTTCAAATATGATTTGGATTATCAAATTTATATCTTGCCCTATGATCTATCCGTAACTCAATGTTTGAGAATGTAAGGTAAATATACATATGTACATTAGGGTGACCAAAAAAAAATGTTTCCCTTGGTACTCGAAAAATAGGTTCTTAGGCACCTCTAAGAAAGTCTCTCCTAGTATGAGCTCTTAACTGTAACGGGAAGATGCTGCACCCTAGTCTTCTATTTTTGCTTTATCAATATGCTGACACAATATACGTAAGGTCACGGTGCAATCCTCGCCTATTTATCTTCTCTTACTATCTAATAGAAAAATATTTCCCTCTCTTGAAAAATATCATTTTTTTTAGATTTTGTAGGAAATTGAATATTCTAATAGTATCTTACGATATTTTGTAAGAATAACTGTTGAAAAACCTAATATAACGTGTTCCGGGTATAATGATAATCAAACCGTTAATGAACGTATTAAAACTGAAACCTGATAAGCGTTTTATTATTGCACTTTTAGAGTTGGTAGTTTGTCTGAATAAATGAAAATTTAATTGAAACAAAACTTACATATTTAGAGAAAAATCCTCGGTTATCTCGAACATCCCCACGTTCTCTAGCTTCTCTTTCTCTTTCTAATTTTTGAATAAAGCTCGTAGTATCTGGAACAGGTGCCGTTTCTGTGTGTCGAATAAGAACATCCGTATTAAAGTCTTCCAAGCCAGACACAGATATATTCTCATAAAAGCTAAAAGATATAAATATTTGTATTAACACTAAGTAAAAAATTAACTAATCTACGAAAAACCTTAGTGGTATGTTTAATATATTATATAAGTTATTTGTGTTTGTAAATGAATAAATGTATGAACATAAAATGCTCCATTTTACTTTAATGATATAACTTTTCTTTTCTAGCATTAAATGCTTACAAAGTTTTTATACTCTTGCAACATTTTGCTACACAGTACCATATAAGTTTTGTTCACCTAACGGTTATATGTAACACTTAAAACTAAACGGGATTGAGTTAAAAATATAAGAGTTAAGTAACGTCTAAGCTGTAAATTCTTGAATTATACAGCGGCGACTATATATACTTATTTCATTAATCTGGAGAACACCCTCTATCCGTATATATAAATTTTAACCTCGAAATCAGAGGATGTTCCTGCCAAATATGTAATAAATCAAAAAATAAAAGCGCAATACATTAAATTTCACACCCGAGATGGTGTCAAAGGGCATTGTAGGATCCGCTGTATAAATTGGACGGTGGACACGAAACCGCCCAACCAACATCGATACATAACATTATTCTGACATTCCTATATTGTGTTGAATAAATAGACAACAACCACGCCTACTACCATGTAATAAAATTATAATTCCATCTGACACTCTATCAAGGAAAATATGACGAAACAAAATGGTATATAAAAAATATAGTATTATTTTCGCATCCGCAAACTAAACTTACCAAATATCAGAACTGGATGTCAAAACAGTTGCAGCATTTATATATCCATTGAGATCTATTGAAATCCACAGAATATCGTTTAGATTGGACATAATAAGATTACACGCTTTGGTTGAGCTTAAAAACTCTTGCTTTTTTCCATCAGCATATGACACCTCTGCTTTCAACCTGTACAACTTATCCATTCTTGCCAAAGACTAAATTTTTATAATTAGTTAATAAGTAATAAACTTCATGGCATATATCTACCTGAAGGTTTTGAATTTGAGTACCAGTTAAAGCTTCCTGATTCGATTTTGCGAGTCCAATATCTAGATTTGATATTGTAACATTTCCGCGATAAGTAAAACTGTTGGGACTTTTAGGGTCAATCGCATGACTTAACTCAATGTTTACCCAATTATCGTATTCCAAATATCCCTGCAATAGAGTTGTCACTAATAACATAGTTCGGAAACAAAAAAAGAACTTACCAAACAAAACTTATAATTAAAAAAAAACACTAAAACGAAATATAAATGCTTAAAGATCTCCATTATTCCGAATGCCCAACAATATTAGAACTGCAAAATTTGCATCGAAATTTGTACCACTTATATCGACTTATACTAGTCGCAAGTACGCTGTCATACACGAAAACTTTGGTTGTGGCAACTTGCGGTTAAGTCTTTCGTAAATATCAAGAATTTACTCAAAAAAAAAAAAACCAAAGGGAATTTGACTCCGCGCAGAAGCTGATAAAATTTTGAAAACTTATAAATGTGATTACAGATATGCATTTACGTAAAAATAAAGAACCGTTGCCTACGAAATGTGTATGGTAAGTTATGAAATGTATTTATTTTTACGTCCGACTTACCGTGCGATTCTGTACTGTGATACAGTATCAAGTCTCTAAATTTGACAGAGACAATTTTTGATACTTGAGACGATTTTGCTATTCTGTAAGTGATAGTCACAAACTCTATTACATTTCATTATTCAGAGATGTTTTTATACTTGAATGAAAATAAATATGTCGATAACAAATATTAAATTTTCTATAAC